CGAGATGAATAAGAGCAGCCTAGCGAGAACCAAGACTTCAACAGTGCAAAAGTAGCCATTCACTTTGAAAGAGAATGCAACGTGGGGGCTCAACTCGAGTACCTGACTGCAGCGCACGTATCCTGAGGAATTCTATTACGGAAGTTGATGTTTCCATATCATGCTCAACCTGCACACACGATGCCGTACATGCGTTGAACACCACTCAGACCGTACGGGTAATGCATCTCTGGTTTACTTACGGAAGACAGGGAAGTCCTGTAATCCTTAATCTTCATCTCTCAGAAACGATGGAGCAGCATGCAAGGGAAATAAGTATGTTGTTGTGCAATTTTGCTCCCCGCACTATTTCTGGCCGGACGCGTTGGAGACCATCTCTGAATGGCCTCACTGGTACGGTGTGTGCAGGGCCGGAAAGCTCAAAGCTCATGCAAGTAGTCTGGCAAGTGGAATGGATAACGTTCGGAAAATTATCAAATTCTGATACCCGGCCCTCAGATTACTGTACGGCGTGAGATCGGGGGACAAGCAGCAAGGGCGGCAGATGCGTAGACAGGATTGTGACTGGGGATGTGCGAAAGCCGGACGTACCTAGCAGCCCAAAATGTTCCGCGTCGCCCGTTTTCGCCTTCTAAATTGAAAGAAAGAAATCTGTCTTGAACCTCTTGTGATGTGAGCGGTTCGATGATGTCAAACTTCCTGGACTTCATCGCGTCGCTGATAGAAAAGCGCATAGAATGTTAGACGTCCCAGATTAGGTACCCCCAGTATTCTCTTCGGTTGATGCCGCATCATAGATCAGATGCAAGAGGGTACATTCGAATGCCCCAGTCACATATGGCTGACATGCCAGAACATTAAATGCGTACCAGCAGCATGTCACACAAAATATTGTGAGAAAGAAGAGGAGAGATCACACCTTCCTCTACGTGTTCAGGTTCAACAGGTACGCGTAGAATGAAACAAGCGGTCGGAAAGTGGCAGGTGAATGACCACGCCAACAGTACTCGTTGAACTTTTCTTTCAAGCTAGCGAGTTTGTATCTGTTTGCTCGTCGGCAAAACACTTGTCTCTACTGGCGTGATTGTGTGAGAGATTGCGAAGCAATTGCTTCGCCGATCTCGGTGCGTGAGGCGGCAGATATGACTGTGCGGGTGCTCTCACAACTAAGCCAGTTTGTAGACAAAATGAAGGGTGGGGGGTTGGGAAAGAAGCTGCTAGAGTCCCCTCCCAGCAGCGCGAATGTCCGGCTGACCAGACGCGCGCCATGACGGCCAGAAGCAATCCGGCTCTTGCCGACTCGGCTACTCCTACATTCGCTAGCCCTCCTCTGCGTCGTCGTGCCTTTGGACTAAGAAGATTGTAACTTGGATCCATGGACCGATATATGTCCGGCCATCCTAGGGGCAAGAAACAGTCAGCTGGCCCGGGTAAAGTGCCAGACCTCAAATTACGCGCAGAGATCGTCATATCACCCTTATGGGCCGTATAGCAAATTAGACATGCCGCATTTGGCGTAAGAGATGGAGATACAAGTACTCGGAGTGTTTTCACAGTCTACAAAACGCGGCAACCGAACGAGCGGAGTTCCAATCGGATGAAGCCGCCGAATCGGCGCTAACCGAACTTCAGCAGATCCCCCTTGTTCTTGTCGGTTTTGGCGGAACCTCTCGACCGTCCATCGACGTGGCGGGCTTCAGGCTGCTAGAGAAGGCTTCTACCTCCTCGTTTGAAGCTATTGTGCATAATTTTCTCGCACATCTGCTATAGTCTGAGAGGCACATTTCATTTCCTTGTCCTTATGACCTGCGCTTCCTTCACATATCCTTTCATCATTTCATGGATACTGGAGGTGTTGTAAGAATCAGATTTATCATACAGACTGCGAGTTAGTTCCCGGCCTTGATACCGTCCCCTTTCACGCGTGAGACCTAGAACCTGCGAGTATACTTCTAGTATCGTTGTAATTAATAGGCCAAGCACGTTTAACTAGCGTTTTCATGTTGACCACCGCGTGATGTGCGCGAACACTGTTAGGTGGGGACCAACTTTCATAACGTCCACGAGGTTTCCCCCACTGATCATCGTGCTGGAATTACTGTAAAATACACACATAACCTCGTTGATAAAGCAACGTTACATAGCGAGTGGGATACCGCCTGCGGCCCCAAATGAGAAAGAGCGATGGCAATACAAAATACGTACGGTGGCATACTAGACTTGGGTTGGGTGACGTGACGTTAGTAGCAAGATCGAAGCTGACGCTCGACTTCCTCTGGGCTGGCCTTGATATCTAGAGAGAAACAGGCGTCAGTAAGAACAATAAAACCCTGGGTGCGAGTCAAGCCCAGGAGGACGTACATTTAGCTGGATCTGAAAACCGAAACCGAAAGTAAGCACAAAACAAAAAATGGTAAGAAATAGCGACTGAGGTGATACAGACTCCTGCTAAACTCCTTCTCCCGATGTTTCGCCAAAAAGCTCGAAAACACAGGGACGACCAACTTGACCACATCGTCCGCCAACCGCTCCCTCCCCTCGTCGTCCTCCGCTAGGACCGTGGCAAACCGATGGCGCTCGATGATATCCTCCAAAGAGTCGAAGAACCGGAGTGCTTTCTCTTTTACGCCCTGCTTATTGCTCCCGAGCCCGCTCTGCGCCTTGTCCTCGGACAGACAAGAGACAAGGGCTGTGAAGTTGGATTCGAGGTACGTCGCCTTCGCGCTCCTGAAGGTGGCATTCAGAGGGATTGTGCATTGGCTGAGATGAGATCATCGACAGGGGTCGAGGGCGCCAGGATGAGGTGCAGGCGAAGATGGGACACATTGTTGATGAGGAAGATGGACGATAGGGCCAATTGCTTTTGTGTTTTGGTCAGGGTAGTTATCGTTGTCAGCAAGTGTGATATTACATCGTCTGAACATCGTGATCATCAGCCATGACGAGAACTAGTCAGATGCAGGAATGCCAATGTAGATGGGTTGAACAGTACTGACGGGTGAAACTCTCCAATATTGCACGCTCGTCAGCCTCGTTGGATGGATCACCGATCCTCCGCATATTTCCAGAGGCTGCGCCCATATTCCAATTACCATCGCCGAGAACTTTCAACGATGCTATAACGGCATCCTGTACTGCCGGAAGCTTGGTAAGGAAGCCCACAGTCTACAACGGGGTGCGGGAGACGATCCGGGTCATCAATGGTTGTTGCACAAAAGAAAGTCCAAAGGTGGGGGGTACATACAGAGGCAGTAATGGGTGCGATACCAAAGCCAATTTCCACAGGCTTGCCGCTCGTACCGACCTGGAGCTGCCCGGCAGTCTTGATATCTGCGATGAGCTCGGGGAAGCTGCGCAGGCAGATAGCACGCATGGAAGTGTAGGCCCTCAGCCAATTCGTTCTGTTTCCTACCGGGTCGTTGTCGCATCGTGTCGTCCCAGCGTCCTTGGAGGAACGAGAGCTCGGTGTATGTCGAAAAGGCGAGGAAGACGTATTGCATGAGAGAACGCTTTATCAGGGACTGCAGGGACTTAAAGTCGCTACGAGAAGATTAATTAGAGGAGTCGTCAGAGTGGCATATGTGGATGCGATTGCTTGAGGAGTTTGGAGGGGTACTAATTCCAGTAAAACGGAATATTCGGCCTAATTGGACGCACAGATCCCGTCGATAATGGGAACACTTTCGGGAGATTGTCCAATGGAGGACAACTGACCTCGGCGAGAGCAAGCATTCCTTCCACCCACAATCCAAAATCCCGACCGCCATCGACAGTGCCCGTGTCTTTCTCGGCGGCAGCCATTATCCGCCTCGTGCCTGGTTCAAGACATCTCTTCGCCCAGCCACCCCTCATATCTGCGTAGCCTTGCTGTGCCTCTTCCAACATCTTAAAGATGTCTCTGGCAGCAGGATGAGAGGGGTGCGAGCTGGGTACCGGGAGAGCACGTAGGGAAGTGACCAGAGGCTCAAGCGAAGAGATTGTGCCCGGTGATATAGTGGGAATGAATGTAGGGGGGGAGGGAGGTATGTTACAGGATCAACCACGACGGAAGATGAGGCTTCGGCAATTTTTTTGGTGAATAATTGAGCGAGTTTCTTCGCCCCAGACTCTGCTAGCCGAGCCTGAGCAAAGCATCTGAGTCCTCGTCTTGGCGGAGAGGGCAACATAGATGCGTACCGCGTCAGGGTCTGGTCCTTTGAAAGCTATATTCGCATTTCAATCGCTCTATTGCATCAATGTAAACATGGAGTTGGTTTTCTTGAGGCCTATAATGTGCATAAGGGTCTCGCACATAGTAAGGTCAAGTGGTTGCAACACAACGTACCCTTTCAGGATAAGCGCCTCTTCAACGACCACATTGTCCCGATCATTCGCCAGCATCTGAATGCTATGGAGAGTCTTGTCAATATCTTAGAGTAAGTCTGTGAGCAGGCTGTCATATGCGGACAAGGTCAGTCACTTGCTGTCTACAACTCTGGTCAACGACTGAGTAGATTTGTGAAGTGGGAGGATCGATTTTTCTAGCTTGACAAGACGTGAATCAAACTTGTGCAATATTGCTGAAATGGATTATAAGCTCTGGTGATGGGTGTAAATGGAGTACAAGAGCCATACATGTCATGCGTGTAGACAACTGGGTCGACTTGTTGAGGTGCTGCTCCAGCTGCCAGCAAGGATAGCATTAATTTGAGGGAGCATCCCTCTGGCGTATGCACCTACCAGCGCAATGTCTGCGGCTTCATCCTCCATCGCGTAGTTCGCTTGGATGTCACGTGATCACACCGGTCTGTGCGCTAGCGACGTGTGCATCAGAATCCAAGTTGTGCGATCATTGAGTGTCCAAGTTGTGAGTAACACTCAAACATCCCACAACTTGGATTCTGATGCACACAGCTTCTCGACTTTTTCGACTGGGGAGAGTCAGTGAGGGAGGAAATTGTTCTCACGGTCCTAGATGTCCTCTTCGTTTGAGAACGCACACAGACATCACTGGGGTATCCGGCCGGCTAGTGAAATGGTCATCACGTCAGTTTCCGGGGAAGCAATCAGCTGAAGGTTGCGAGTTCGAGTCTCGCGCTGGTCGATTTTGGTCAATTTCTGTTCAAGATGCAGAGTATATTTTTACTGCAGCGTGCTATTGCGGAGGGATGTCCCTTGTCAAGAATCAATTGCCCCAATAGGCGTTATTACTGAGACCCACTTCACCCATCTCAATCAACATGTTGACTAATTGACAATGGCACGGCCGCCTCAGCGCTTCTGCGTAACATCCCTAATCCACCTGCTGTCCACTATTAGTGACCTTTCCTTTCGGGTATGGCATGCCCAGAAGTCTGACACGTACCCACCGTACAACCTACTCAAAATGTCAATTTCACACAGCGCGCAAAGCACAAAGAGGCGCATCGATTAGACCCCGCCAATCTACTGATACCGCCCCCGCCCCCCGCTTCTGGGCCTCATCTTAAGCCATGAAGCACTTGGGAGTTCTGCTCGTGAAAACATCACGCATCCGGGAAGACATTCGTCAAGCGTGCTTGCAAATCGTTTCCCAGGACCAGAAAACGTAGCTTATGAGCGTTCCAGAAGCGGCGACAGATAGGAGACGCCTTATCAATGATGCGCAATAGACATCAGGCAACGCGCGTGCGTTTTATCGATTGAACATGATTGATTGAGGTCCAAAATGATAAACGTTCCAGAAGCAGCGACAGATAGGAGACGAGAAGCAGTTACTGATCAGTAGACAGTCCACTCGCATTCGACCCAGTGCAGTACGGTCGAAGTTGATCCTAAAGACGAGAAGAAAGCACAACAAGAACAGTACTTCAGCAAAATAGAATGTATCGTAAAAGAGGGTATGCATCCCACCCAGTAGTTAACTATTGGAGCAGCGGAAGGGGATCAATTCATTGGAATCAGTCGGTGGGTTGATCAAATCTGTCTCGAGGGAAAGGCACAACACGTACCAGTGGAATGAGCGAGGAACCTTCCAAGAAGGGGGATCTGCTGGAGGGCAGAAGCTATTCCCTCACGGATGTATTCGCCGAACTGGGAGATTTTCTTGCTATGGAACGCTGCTACTTCTTGGTGTGTGAAACCGTCGGAGTCGATCACGACATCGTGATCGTGTGTGATGTGATTACCAGTGACGTCCGAACTGCATGCATAAAATTTGGCGGCGTTAGTTGCTGTTTCAAGGATAGAATGAATGAGATGAGGGTCGTACGAATGGGGATAGTCATACAACACAATTTCGCTGCCAAGGTGAGAGAAGAAGAAATTGTTCTCTATAGAGGAAAAATTATTGTCCGTACCAAGGGTGGAAGCGGCAATGAAAAAGAAGATCTCACTTCTATCAGTTTTGAGGGCTCTGGGATCCAAGATTTGCAGGTAGTCTCCATACTCGGGTAGGCCCGTGGCAACTATGCGAAGCATCGGATCAGTCCTCCGAACAAGAACAGGGCGCCCTTTACCTCATCTGCTGAGAACTCACCGAAGTCATTATTAGATGTTATTCTCCACATTGTACGTTTAGGGGCATCGTTCTCGAACATCTTGTCATTGAAAGCTGATTGTACGTTGGAATCAATTTCTGGCGCCACCTATTGTAGCTCGTCTCGTGACATACCCTTCACGGACTGGGGATCAGCTACGATGGGGGCGGCAAAGAGATATGCGTCTCTAAGAATCCCGTTCTCCCCAATCTCTTCCGGTTTCATGAGCATTCGAGAATATATAAGTGTGGCAGTTGCACACCCCTAAGAGATAGAACCCCAGCGTGAGCATCGGACGCGGCATGGAATGGTCAAGAGACTCATCAGAGAGTGCCCAGTGAACCAAACATTGATCTAAACAAACGAGATCAGTATCGCATGTCAAGAATTGAAGCTGAAAGCGGATGCATAGGCTGCGACTGGGATACCTTTCGACCAGCCGGAAGTCGTGCACTGAGCCAAGTGACTAGAGCTTAACACCCTGGGAGATGGTATTGTATGGGCGCTGATATTGGCTTTCTGAGGGCCGTCGGCCTTTATCCGGGAAGACACGTTCTTTGAATCCCCTGTGTACCAGCTGGAAACCGTCAATATAATCGCCACCTAGTCGAAGGAAGAGGACGATCAGATGCACAATGCAAGGGGTTCATGCTTTCATACATTTTCCTTACATGGAACCATACTGGCGTCAAGGTCGGATAACCATTCCCCGAATTCGACGACACCAGTACCTGGATGAGGAACAAAAGATGAGTACCCTGTTCTTATTTGTAAGGGGGCACTGCATGCCTTTCAGAGCAACAATGATCCAGGACGAACGAGGATCCCAAAAAAGGGCGCAAAAGGCGGTGGACTTATTGTTCAGTTCTACAATGAGCATCCGAGAAGGCCAATAAAACAGCACGGAACAATCAGTTAGACGTATCGGGGAGAATGACAAATTTTAACCGGAGATGGGTTGATATTCGATACCAAACGGCCTGCAGAATCTGCGGATAGCAGCATCACCGGTAGCCTCCAGGAAGTCGCGATCAGAGAAGTCCACGCCACCAAAAACTGCGTTTCGTATGGCATCATTTTCGTGCTCGTAGATTACAGCCGCGATCTGGAGGCTAATAATTCAAGGAAGCTCGAGTAAGATTCTCCCCAATTGGGAATAAAAACAACTACTTACAGTAACTTGGCAATATCATAATTGAAATAACGTTTCTTATCCGTATCTTTACTGGATTCAATGGGGATAGACAGTGCGTTGTTCGCCGCTTCAGCCTGCCTGACGGTGAGAGATTTGAAACTATTGGGAGTGTCTAGTAGTTTGAGGTGAGTCCAAAATATCCCTGTGCTCGGGAGCGGTAGGTAAATACCAGAATTGAGACTGGACAAAGCGTAATATGTCCTAGCGTGACGCAGTGAGTCGCAAATGAAGGGGGGAAGATGCAATCAACATACCGGGTGAGTGGGGGGAAGCGAGCAACGAGGCAAAGAACAAGGATAAATGGGAGAACCACGGTACCGGCCAAGGCGAAAAGCACATAAGCGAGCCAATCGCCGACGTCGTCGCTCTCGGATTCGTGAGATTCTGGGGGAGATTTTGGGCTCCATGGAAGATGGAATCCCCAGTACGAAGGAAGACCGCCTTCCAAGTGACATAGAGCCAGTAAAAATACCTGAAGTTTTCGGTGACCACCAACTCGATATAGAGATAGGCAGACTAATCCGGAACGTTAAGGAAAATACGGGTTGAAAAAAACATGATACACTCACTCTGATGAAGGGAATATTGAACAGAAAGGTATGGCCCCCGCCACCACTGACTGTCAGTGATGGGGAGATCTCAGAACAATTGGGGTGGATAAGACGCACTGTTAACTGTACCTTCCTTCGCGCTGATGTTCGTAGAATCTCATGAATCTTGTGCTCATCGTAATGAGTGTTGTCGTTCGGGCTGAGCCATTGGGAACGGCTTGCGAGGGAGGGAAGTGCGCAGACATCGTGCCTCCACAAAACGAGGGGAGAGTCCAAAAAGTGCTGATATGTTAAGGGGTAGCATTGGCCAGTGCGAGCGCTTGATCCGTCAGACTTGAATGGCTCGGCGAAATCTGACCTCCTTTAGGGGGCCGAAAATCCCAAATCCGGCATGCCTTGGTCCTTCAGCTCGAATAATCCATGTATGCAGATCTGGATTACCAAAAATCTAAAAAAATGTGCCCTTCCACATGGCTGCAACCCCCGTTAGCTTCTAGTCCCTCATCGCATCATCATCGCTCTCACCTTTGTCCGTTCCTCCGGTTTGGGTGGCACTGCTTGCCTTGCTGAATTCCTTCACTGCTCTCGTAATGTTGCCTGGACTGGAGATATAATGCATCGAAGGCTCGAACAGCCCACTGTTGGCCTGGCCCAGTATTATTAAGGGTCGGCACTCAACGTGCGTGACAATTCATAACCGGGGATTAGATCCGAAGACAGCCATGAGGCAGAATTTCGTCCCGACATCTTTGTGACAGAACTGACATTTAACAACGGTGTACACGACGATATCAAAGACGGGTGGCCACCACCGGATGTAATGTCTCCACGTGACCACCAATCTCTGAAACCATGCAGATACCTAGCGAAAAACATGAGGGTACAACAGCAGGCGTTCATCTGAGCCCCCCCATAAATTCCCAAGACCTGAATCTGCTGATTAGACTACATAGGAGGCACTCAAATCTGAACCTCCCGCATACGAAGGGAGAGCCTTGGTCCCATCTGCTACTCCTCCAATCGACCCGCCCCCGACTATGCGATTCTCCCCATTCCATCCCAAACCCTCCTTCGATCCTAACGATTTGGCGTCCACCAATTTTCGTCTCCATCTTCGAGCCAAATTCGAGCATCAAGGGGAAATGGATCATCAACAACACATCCCTAATGCCGCCCGCAGCTCTATTGGCCCCGACTTGGACAAGGACCAAGTAGTTTTTGCCTACCAGCGCAACCTCTGTCACGTCTGCAAGGCTAACGTTCCTAGAAACTCCAAATTAAATGATACCAGAACCAGAGTTGTAGGTCAACGCGAAACTGTGCCTCGTAAAGCCTGTAGACCAGCAGTCGGCTTTCATCTTGCAACCCAACCCAGGTCGTCGTGCAGAGTCCACGAGTCCTTCACCTCCAAGCCGTTGCTGAGTATAAGACATCAGTATTGTGAAGAAGGTTGGTCAACGACATACCGAGAAGGGTCTTGATCTGTCGAGCGAGTGGGTAGTGGGATTCCGGAGGAGAACAGGCCAGTCGTGGACGGGTTTACTGTATATAATGGAGTCTCGGACGGTTGCTATATAACTCCATGGTGTGCCACATCTAGTGGGCAGCTCTTGCGTCATTAGGTGGAGACGAAACTCGCCATGCATCATGCGCTTTTATTCTGCCTTATATTATGCCGCCTGTTGTGCCATAAGGCTACAACCAGCGCGCATGATTACAGAATGTGTGCGATTAGAAATAAAGATGCCTGATAGTAAGCTAAAGGACGGCGGTGTCAACGGATTCCTCCTCTACAAGAAGTTTCCTGCTAATATTATTTCAGGACTGGCCATAAATACAA